ATTCTGCTCAAACCCGAGGTGTCTGGGAGATTTACAAAGTGGACCATCGAATTGAGCGAATACGATATATGGTATGAGCCTCGGCTAATAGCCAAAGCTCAAGTCTTAGCCGATTTTGTAGCAGAATGCATGTTCATCACAACGACCCCCGAGTTGACCGAGCTCGATCACACGATGGGAGCTTCAACTAGTGTGGCACCAGTCCCAATCAGAGCGGAACCGACCTGGGACGAGGAGCCCTGGATCCTCCACGTCGATGGCTCGTCCAACCAGCAGGGAAATGATGCAGGACTGATACTGTACAACCCAAGCGAGGTGAAGCTGAATTATGCTATCTGGTTCAGATTCGAGGCATCAAACAACGAGGCAGAATACGAAGCATTAGTCACTGGGTTAACCTTAGCAAGGGAAATGAAAGCAAAGCACATCATTGTGTGCAGCAACTCACAAGTAGTGGTTAACTAAGTCTCTGGTGAGTACGAAGTCCGTGACCCCACTATGGCAGCTTACTTGGCCAAAGTCAAAGAGATCCTACGTAGTTTTGTCTACTACTTCATTAGACAGATTTCGAGGTCCGAGAATGATGAGGCCGACGCCTTGTCACGACTAGCTAGCACGAGCAGTAACACCATGCGAACTATGTACATAGAGGACCTACCTCAGCCCAGCATTCTCGGAGGGGGCAGAAGAGGTCGCTCCCGTATCACAAGCGGAACCGAGTTGGATCGACCCACTCGTGAGTTATTTGCTCCACGGGACCCTACCTGTAGAACGTAATGCAGCCCGAAGGGTAGAGCGTCAGCCAGCTAAATTCATCCTCATAGATCGATAGCTTTACAGAAGGTCTTTCACGCTCCCTTATCTGTCCTGCTTGCGACCCTCAGAAGCTGAGCATGTACTTTGCGGCACCCAGTAAGGCTTGTGCGACGGACACTTGGGGGGCAGAGTTCTCGCTCAGAAAGTGTTAAGAAAATGCTATTACTGGCCCACGATGAAGGCGGATGCACTCGAGCTCGTCAAAAAATGTGACAGGTGCTAGAGGCATGCCAACATTCACCATCGACCTGCTACTAATTTGAAGTACCTCACTAGCCTATGGCCCTTCGCGCAGTGGGGAATCAACATCCTTGGTCCCTTCCCCCCAGCAGTAGGGCAGAGGAGGTTCTTGGTTGTAGCAGTAGATTACTTTACGAAGTGGGTGGAAGCTGAACCCTTGGTTACGATCATAGTCCGCAACATACATAATTTCTTCTGGAAAAGCATAGTATGTCGCTTCGGACTACCTTGAGTGCTGATATCCGATAATGGAAAACAGTTTGAAGATATTAAGTTTCAAAGCAGCTCGGGTGCAAACCCTACGGTGTCTAATTCACCTTAGGCGTACAACAACATAAGGTTAACCTCACATAGAGCCGAGATCGTTAGCTCAACACTTAGGGATAACCAACACTTAGGCAAATAAGTGACCTAGGCATAGACAGGTCGGGTATGTACCTTACAGTGTCTGATCGTCCTAGCATGCAACGACAATTATATCTTCTTACTAGTGTCGAGCTCACCAGCTCGGCAACAACCTATACTTAGGAAAAGTCCACTCCTATTTGGTTTAGTTCGCCAGTTTAGGAGTAATCTACACTTAGAAAAAATTCTTGCACACAAAGATTGCAAAACACTTATATTTCATTGATGTAGAACTTCGAGTACTAAAAAAAACAAAAAAAAAACTACTATACCTAAGCTCAGAGGCCCGGGATGTACATTGTATGTAAGGAGGTCAAAGAAAAGAGGGACGACTATACATCCAATCTGCCAAAATCCCCTCCAGTAGGTAGGTTGGTTTCCATGTGGTCCTCCTCCACATCCTCTCGGCCTGGCTCCCCTGATGGCCTCACCTCAAGAATTTCATCATCGCTCTCCCCTTCGAAGGAGTCAGGTTCCTCGTCAACCTCCTTCGCCATCTCGGGAGTGACGACCAACATGGAAACAGGTCCAAAGTCGAGCTCGGGAAACTTCCGCCGCATTAGCCACTTGCAAAGTTTGAAGCTTGACCGGTATGAGCTAGATCCATACTCGAGCTGGAGTTCGTGAAACTCCGGGGACTCCTTGAAATCCTCGATGGCGCGATCTCTCTCTTTAACCCACGCCTCTTGGATGGCGGTGTCAAAGATCTCAGTGCGCTCCTTGATCATCGCCTCGAGGTTCTCGTTCTCCCGCAAGAGAGCCTCCTTCTCCCCCTTGAGTTTCTTCTTCTCCTCCGCCAGTACGAGGATCAGCTTCTCCTGGCTCCGAGCTCCCTTCTTGGCTCGAAGAACCTCACCCCGAGCTAAATCCAGCTCGCGGTAAAGCTTTCGAGTGTTCTCTTCGGCCTCCCGGTCTCGCTTCAAACGAATATCGGACTGGTAGACGAGTGAATCAATAGCGAAGTTCACCTGGCAAATAGAAAACAGGCGTAAGTACTACTAACAGAAGAGTAAGAAAATAAAACAAAGGGGCAGGTTACTCACCACCATGCAGTAACTAGTTGTTCTTCCTTTGAGCTGAGTCATTGGCACGTCAACCCATTATGCGACCACCGCAGGAAACACGACATCCTTTCTCTTGAGGAGCTCGAGCCGCGGGGTCATTATGCTCTCATTCGGGAGCTGAGGCTCGGGCTCGCGAGGCGGGGCCCCCTCATCCAGGTCAATGACTGGAGGTTGGGGGCGAACTTCCTCATTCGGGAGCTCGACCGAGATCGGCTTTGGCACAACGACCTCGGGTTGGGCAGGAACTGAAAGACCGACCTCCTCCCGATGGGACCTCTTCAAGGCCTTCCTCTTCTTTCCCTTTTGACCACTCCGTAGAAGGTTTGCTGCATCAACGCCTGTCATAGCTTCTGCAAGAGAAAAAGGAAAAAGTTAGTCACGAACTGAAGTAAGTGCAAAAATAAGAAAGAAAAAGCGATGTGTGCGCAGAGGTGGAGGCCTACCTGGTGGACTCAACCCAACTCGTACAAGCTTCTCCTCAGCTAAGAAATCTTTCATTTCAAGGCCGAGGTCCCTTCAAGAATTAATGACCGCCCTATTCTCAGCATCCAGCCTCACCCCGGGGTCCTTAATGGCCACTCGCCAGTGAGTCGGGAATGGCCATCCCTCAAGGTTCTGAACAAAGAAGTACATCTTTTTTTTAGGTCGGTACTTTGCTCGGGCTACTGAACAAGACTTTGAACCTAGGGCGGGGCGAAATGTAGTAACTCTGTCGGGTGCCCCCGCACAGGCAAGCAGAGTTCTTCTTGATGGAGCAGATCGAACTAAAAGTGTATAGGGAAAGAGGTCGATTATACTCGTGGAACAGAGAGATCGTGCAAACAATGGTTCGGATGGATTTTGGGTGTAACTGGTCAATGGTAATGTCGAAGAACTTAATAATTTATATGATGAAAGTGTGGAGCGGGAAGCGCAATCCAGCTACTAGTTACTCCTCAAGGACCGCGAACTTGTGGTGACCGTGAACCCAAGGGTATTGAACCAAAGGAATACTGAAGGTAAGGGTGTTGGGAAGACAATAACGGGCTACCAAGGACAATAATCTGTCCGAGGTCATCATGGAAGGGCCGAAGTCATCCGGATCCCAACCCCGAGAAGAAATTGGGACCCCCTCTCTGGAGGTCGGTTGCTCTACCCGAGGTTTAGGTTCCTCAAACCGAGATGGCCCGACTTCGGTCGCTCACTAGAATCACTAAGTAACCTATCTATGCTAGCGCTAGACATACTGGACAAGAAAAGGAAAGGGGAACAACTAATGAAAGAAGACAAACTCACCAAAAGGATGGCAACGACCTCGGACACAAAGGAAAGGGTGGCGAGTTGAAGGACTTTGACGCAACCTCAGGAGAGCTCAATCACAAGATTTATGGCGAAGTGGGTCCTAACTTCTTTATGTTAGGGTATCTGGTCTCGATGACATGCAATACTTTACTTATGTAATAAACGGGCCGCTACACCTTATCCACCTCTTGGATTAAGATTGAGCTAACCACCTCATCACTTACAAAAAGGTGAGCTTTAGTTCATCTTCGAGTTACGACCTAAAAGACAACTTAGACACTTGTTTGGTGCTTTCAATTTGGAGATAATAATCCATTGGATCATTTTAACATTTTAATTTTTTATAGTGATCCATATTTAAAATAGAAGATGTTATATAATTAGGACACTATGGCATTTATTTAATAAAAAAGATAGAATTAAGATAGAAGGATAAATCTATGATGATTGAAAGTTATGATATTGGAAGAGCTTTGACCAATAAAAAATCTCTGTAAACACCGTCTGATTCATTGCCACTTTTATGATACCTCTCCATTATCACAGTCGAACCCCTAGATAAAAATAAATATTTTATCAAATTATCCTTAATAATAAATATATTAGTTTTATACTTTTATTTTAGATATTTATTTCAGACTTGAAAAAAAGTAATTTTCATTTATAATTCTCATCTCAAATTTTTATTTCATTTTCTTTATTCCCACCTTAATGTCCCGACAAAAAAAGTTCGTCCTATCGTCGAAAGGTAAGATAAATAATTTCACCCCAAACCAAACAGTGCCCCAGGGCTAGGGGAATATTTTAGGGAGAAGTACAAGTTCAAAATTTACTAGGGGGAATGCATCCTGACCGTGAATTAATATCAAATTCAGGGGGACAGGCTAGTTGTAATGGGGCTGGAATTTAGAATTCTGCATCGTGTGTTTCCGTACTTTTCCCAATATTTTAACTATTTAATTAACAAAATCAGCACATGAGGCACAAAGAGGGCCCATCAATTCTACTATGCCGGGGCCACGGGCTTAGCCCTCACGGTCGTCTTAATCAGAAAAGGACAACATTAAAATTTTAAAACCTGATTACCCACTGTATTTGCTTAAAACCCAGGGTATATTTTGCCATCCCAACCCCCGAGATTTGACCTACATCGCGCTCTCTTACTAGTTACTACCTAACTACTCACTTTGCTCTCTGCTCTTCACTCCTTCCCCCACACGCGAGTGGTAGGTGGGCGTTTTGCTTTAACAATAGTAGATAGACTGAACTGAAGGGTAGTTACAAACTTACAATTCCTCTCTTATTAAAGCCCCGGAGCCTCCTCCCTCTTGTATTATCTTCATGAAACACTGAACCACCACCACAGTACACTACACAGACAAACAAAGGTAGCCATGACTCTTCTGGCCTTTGTTTCATTCACTCTTTTCGTCGCTTTTCTCATCTATTTCCTCTTCAACCTGCTCAATCGATACCCTCGTCCCCTTCCTCCAGGCCCTAAACCATGGCCCATCATCGGCAACCTCCCCCATCTGGGAACCGTGCCCCACCACAGTCTCGCAGCCATGGCTCGTACTTACGGCCCCCTCCTCCACCTACGTCTGGGATCAGTTCACGTCGTCGTTGCAGCGTCGGCGTCTGTTGCTGCACAGTTCCTTAAAACCCACGATGCCAATTTCTCGAGCCGGCCACCTAATTCTGGCGCTAAGCACATCGCTTACAACTACCAGGACCTTGTCTTTGCACCCTATGGTCCCAGATGGCGCATGCTCAGGAAGATTTGCTCCGTCCATCTCTTCTCCGGCAAGGCCTTGGATGATTTCCGTCATATCCGACAGGTTCGTTCCTTTTTTATTTTTTGTCATTATTACAGGCTCAGTTTGTAAAGAGTAAAATAGCAAACCGAGACTTGAGATCCACGCCTATATATTTTATGTATGGATCATCTATCGTATCGAAGTTGCCCTTCTGAAGTCAGCCATCGACTTCAGTGCAGCGGGGCCTACTAACCCATCAAGCTCCTAGGTCTAAGGTTAACGCTAAACAATCACGGGTTTCCCCGATCGTGGCGAACGTCGTCCAACGGTGAAACTTACACAGCTCCAACCAGCTAACCGCTGTTCTGTGGATGCAGGAGGAGGTCGCAGTGTTGATCCGGGCCCTGGCCGGAGCGGGAAAGGCCGCAGTGAATGTAGGGCAGTTGCTGAGCGTGTGCACTACAAATGCACTGGCGAGGGTGATGTTGGGAAGGAGAGTGTTCGGAAGCGGTGAAGGAACGGGGGACCAGAAATCCGAAGAGTTCAAGGAGATGGTGGTGGAGTTGATGGTGCTGGCCGGGGTTTTCAACATCGGCGACTTTGTGCCTGCGCTAGACTGGTTGGATTTGCAGGGTGTCGCTTCTAAGATGAAGAAGTTGCATGCGAGATTCGATAACTTCTTGAATGGGATCTTGGACGAACACAGGGTCATGGGTGGTGGCTCCGAAGGTCACACGGATTTGCTCAGTACCTTGCTCTCGTTGAAGGATAACGTAGATGGCGAAGGAGGGAAGCTCACGGATACAGAAATCAAGGCCTTGCTTTTGGTATGCCTCTCTCTCTCTCTCTCTCTCTCCCCAGATTCCGTTGTTTCAATTTTCAAAAGAACATCTCATAGGCTACTAAACCGTGTTAGACCAATGATTTGGACCAAAACAGACATCAAACCGGAAGGGCGTAACTAGGTTTAGACGTGATTTAGTGGGCGGTTAACTATTGATTACGTTCGTATGCTCTGGGTATCAAAGCATTGGCTCAAACTTTGAAACAGATCCAGATGATATGAGCCGTTCGATTAAAAACGTTACAACCATCAAACTAGAAAAAAAAGGTCTGGTTCAATTGCCAGTCCGGATAACGTTTCACTTGTTCCGCTGCATTTGTCATTACTCATTAGCATTCAACTATCGGTAATTGGGTTGGTCGGTTCGGTCCGATCTATCAAACCGATTATGTCGGTTTTAGTTCCATGATTTTATCCTGATTAATAACTAGGTTACTTTCTATTCTTGCTTTATTTTTCAATGGGTTCAGACTCGGACCAATTATTTTATTAAATATATAAGGTTTATTAATTTTCTTATAATTTTATTATATATTATGTCCATGTCTACCTACACAACGAGCCCGTATCTCCTGCTCACACAAATTCTGTCCATGTCTACCTACACAACATTGCAGTCACACATGAATAACATCTTATCTTCCTACATAATATTATGCAGGGGGAGATGTTCCTAATTCATGGGGGTAGTGTGTTGTGGGTAGATGTGGGCAGAGTTCTCGTGGGCATGAGATTCAGAGTCGGATTCAACCATACAAACTCTTGTATTTGTATGTTAAATTTATAGTTAAATATATCAAATGTGCCTTTAAATGTCGTGCATTTAGTGTATTTACATGATATTAAGGGGGTGTTTTTTTTTGTTTTTTGGATTTTGAGAGGAGGAAAGTTAGTTAATGGGATTTTGGTTCCCATTAACCATAAATTCTATGTTCTTTTTTCAGATTTATGTGGGGATTAGGGAAAGTTTATTTTCGTGAGTAGGGTAAGTGATACCCATCTCCTAGGTTTACCACCTAGGGGAAAATTTGATAACACTTGAATGGACAAAAATGCCCCTTTTAATAATGGATTTTATGGCTAAAATGATCATTACTTTATTTACCTAGGAAATAAAATAATATGGTCGGATAAACGCATTTACCCGTATAAATGTTTTTCAAGAAAAATTTACCCAAATAATTATATTTAACCGAATAAGTAATTTATCGAAAGAAAAAAGAGCCCGACTCAATTTGAAAAAAATATAAATACAAATTTGGAAAGTGTAAAACCTTATATTTTAGCTACAGGCCCGATATCAGGGCCCGCTTTAGCCTATGGGTTTTAGACCTGAAGGCTATCACCGTTAAAGTGGTAGTTTAGAAAGTCCAATTCCGAAATTATTAAAAATGGAAGGGCATCTACAAAGAAAAAAGTTAAGATGGCCGGAATTTGGAAACCTACTTGATAAGAATCCAATGAATCTGGATTTGCTTTGGAAGGGTAAATTCCAAAGCATACAAGGCACTAGATGAGTAAACGAGTAACAAGTAGTGTTACAGAGTATGGAACCCATGTGTAAGGAATGCAATTGGAATTTACCCTTCCATATTAAAAAAAAAAAAAAAAAGATCTTATCAGCAAGAGGTAGCCTTAGCTGCCCCATGAATCTCGATATGCAATTTCTTATTCATTATTGACTGAAGATGCGTTAAGAAGTAAACATCCATTAAAGTTGGTTATACTTGTGATGGTGTAGGACTTATTTACAGCAGGCACCGACACATCAGCAAGCACAGTGGAATGGGCGCTGGCCGAACTCATCCGGCACCCTGACATGCTAGCTCGAGCTCAACGGGAACTCGACGCTGTCGTCGGTAAGGACCGGCTGGTGACGGAATCCGACATATCTCAGCTTACGTACCTGCAAGCAGTGATCAAGGAAACATTCCGGCTCCACCCGTCAACACCGCTCTCCGTCCCCCGAATGGCATCCGAAGGCTGTGAGATCAACGGATACTACATTCCCAAGGGCTCCACCCTTCTAGTCAACGTCTGGGCCATAGCGCGGGATCCAGCCATATGGCCTGAGCCGCTTCAATTCCGGCCCGAGCGCTTCCTCCCGGGAAGCAAGCACGCCAACGTTGATGTCCGAGGTAACGATTTTGAAGTCATTCCCTTTGGTGCGGGCCGTAGGATATGTGCCGGAATGAACTTGGGCTTGCGCATGGTTCACCTCTTGACTGCCACCCTGGTCCACGCATTGGATTGGGGGCTACAAGAGGGCCAAATGGCGGAGAAGCTGAACATGGAGGAGGCGTATGGCCTGACCTTGCAAAGAGCTGTTCCCTTAACGGTACACCCACGCCCAAGGTTGGCTCCACACGTCTATCGTGCCTCGTCCTAGACTTTGGAATCCAATATGAAGCTAAGATTTAAGCTTGCTATGTCTATTAGATACCACATCCTACTTCGTATGCACCTCTTTTCTTTCTTTTATATTTGTTTTCTCCTAAGGTGTCACTGGAGTAGTCCCCTATGAATATATAATTACAGTTTCATTTCTTCTATCTCTAAGAGGGTGTTTTTTCTTTTTTTTTTGGGATTTTGAGAGGGTGAAATTGGTTAATGGGATTTTGGTTCTCGTTTCATCAAGAATCCCATATTTTTTTTTCAATTTTATGTGGAGAGCATGGAAAGTTTATTTTCCGGGTACCACTTACCCAGGAAAGTGATACCCATCTCCTATATGGATAAATAACTTTCCCATATAGAGGGAAAGTTGCCAGCATTTGAATGAGACAAAAATGTCTCTTTTAATAATGAATTTCTATGGCCAAAATAGTCATAGGTAAATGCACTTACCCGAATAAGTATTTCCTAAGAAAAACTTACCACGTAATTGCATTTACCCGGGTAAGTAACTTACCAAAGTGAACAAGGCCTAAAATGTCGGATAGTGATGTAAGAGAAATAGTAAAGGAGAATAGAACTTACGAGATTTGCTGAAGCACTGAAGTAGAGTGAATGTAGAATGAATTAGTCAGGATATTTCATTTATCATAGGAGTTCAGATCTGTGCCCCACAACACATCCCCTGTATTAATGAAACCTCCCAACGATAATATCAGAAATGATGATGTCATCATTGAGAGATGTTCCCAGTAAACAGCAAAAATGTACTGTGGGACGTTGCGGGGTGCCCCTTGTGGGGCGCAGATGTGATCACTTATTATAGGTATTTATAATTTCTGTTAAAGATTGTTCGTTCAGGCTTTGGTTCATACATTCAATCTTGATGTTGTCTTTATGCGTATATATCCAAGAACCAACAAGGAATATAGGCAGCTGTGCTCTAGATGACTATATCTGTTACAAACAAGGCGTGGGCTACATAATTCAAGTAGAATTGGAATTTATCGCAACAAGTTTCCAATATTATGTGTCTCCGCACAGCTCGCTTGATTGGGACCCAAATAATATTGAAATGCATTGGGAAGAGATCCAAATTTGTCTAAAAGTAAACCTGTGGAGTGTCTTACATGTACATCTCAGCGTGCGTTGGGAATATCCTTCCGAAGTTGATATTGAGAGGAAGTCACATCTGTCCTCCGAGAATGTGCCCCAAAACTGTCGCATCACATCTCAACCATGTATTGGGAACATCTCTCAATGACAAGTATGAGAGATGTTCTCAATGCATGTTGAGATGTGCATGTGGGATGTTTTTGAGGCGTGTTTTGTGGGGGGCAGATGTGAACTCCATTGAGAGATGTTTTTAATATACGGTTGGGATGTGTTGTGGGGCACCCGTGGGATGCAGATGTGAATTCAACTGTGATCTGCAAGGTTTTTAAAACTAGACTGGAGAGGGAACCGTCCTGGGGACCACTTCCTGGTCGAATGGTCTGACCATTTGGTTTGAATGGACAGTCCATTCTAACAAAAAAATAAAAAAAAAGGCCAAAAACCGTTGCCTAGGCTCACAGTTTGACCATCTGGGTCAGTGGTTCACTGACCAAATAAATGGTTTTGGGCAAAAAGTGGTTTTGGAGTAAAATGGAACCGATCAGGTTTCGGTTTTTCTGATTTGACCATTTGGTCCGATCCGATTTTTAAAACACTGGTGATCTATCTAATTATCTCATTAGTTGCCACGTGTTTACTCATGGTTGGGTTGAGTAGCTGGTTGCACATAAAAGTACGAATCTTACTGCAACCTCTCTACCTTCTGGAAAGTTTCGAGTATTGGATGAGGTGGCCTTGTTGTTCACCATGAAAAAGCCGAAGCAAAAATCCTACATCATGGTTTTCAAAACCGGACCAGATAGGATGGTTGAATAGGAAAAACTAGGAACTGGTCTCTGTTTTACTCCAAAACCGTCATTTTGGCCAAGAATCGTTGATTTAGTTAATAAACCGCTGACCCAATCGATCAAAACATTCAAATCATCTAACAGCTTTAACTTTTTTTTATTTCTTTAATTTTTTTTTTCTTGTCAGAACGATTCATTTGATTCAAACGATTAGATCGTTCAACTCTGAAGCCAAACCCTAAACGGTTCGTTGTCCTACATGTACAAACTTTCTTTCGTTTTTTTATCCCCGAAAGATACAAAGACATCGATCCACATTCCGCACTATTCAATTTTAAGCATGAATAGAGAAATATATTATTTAGGTTAGGTAGCATGAGCGTTGACCATGATTAAGATTACCTTTGGATTTCAAGCAAGTTGGACGGTTCGAAATTAAGACTTCAGGTACCGAAAAGCCAACCCAAACAAAGGCCTAAGGGTGACGATTACAATTCAGTGAATTCACCATTCACATGCTTTTTGCTAAATAAAATAACATTTGACAAAATCATTAATGTTTTTAAAATAATGACAAAAGCACTGTATTGGACAAAAAAAAATTCTTTGACCAAATTGTCTTACTGTTCATTGGCTTCCTCCTGATACATTCAGAGATAGAAATCGGCCTCTCACTCTCTTCAAAAAAAGGATGTATCTACAGTAAAACAAAAAAAAAACATTTTTGTAAGTTCAGATTGATCATATTGATGAATGATGAAAGATCTTAGATTTTTGTTTGGAAAACGCATGTTGCTAAGGGATTGTCAATGCAGATGTGTAATGACATGGTTGCTGTGAATCCCTGAAAGAGGATCCTAAGTTTGTTGCCAGCGAGATAGATGAAAATAGTAGCTTTCTCGATTTTATTCCATCGGCGAAGATCCCCTGCTTTCAACAACTTTGAGGTTGTTCCCTTGTTTTGTACAATTTTGTCTTTGAAAAATGAGACAGAATCTACTTTAAATATTTTGTACGATTTTTTTACACATTTACACCAATAGTCACCACTGGACGCCGTTAGGCGCCATATAAGTGAAACAGTGAAAAATTGGTCTTGAAAATGAAAAATGTCAAAATTAGTGTTTTTTAATAAACCATTTATATGATTTTCGAGAGAGCCATTAATTTATCAAATAAATGACTCAACCAAATAACTTTTTAGGTGTTTTTCTGTTAAATGCATCTCCAATGCTGTTCGAAAAGCTACATCTATACCAAACACCATCTTTGTGTGAAGGAATGGATGACTGAATTGTATTTAAAAACTTACGAGTCTAAGTGTGAGCATTATTTGGTTAAAACCGAATAACCGAACCAAAAATTTTAGTTTCGGTTTTTTTGACCGACTTTTTCGGTTTTTGGTTAAATCGGTTTTTGACTATTTCGATTCTCAGTTTTTATAATTAAAATTTTGGTTAACCGAATTAACCAAACTTTTTATTATTATATGTAATATATAATATATAACATATTATTATTATATTATATATTAATATATAATATACTGAAATTTTCATAATATATCATATATTATATAATATATATAATAAAATATATGTTATTAAAATTCGGTTTTAATCGAAATAACCGAACATTAAAAAATTTTGTTTACAGATGTTACGTCTTCCTTCTTATGCCGGTTGTCTACATGCACTCGATTTATGGAGACTTGTAGATTGTATAATTTCTTTTGGTCAGAACCATCACCACCGGCTCCTTTGGTTGCTTCCCGTTATCAAATTCCTGTGACTAGCCTTTTAATTAAGGACAATTTTGTCCTAGGAAATTAAAAATCTTTTCCGTTCACTATTTTTGTCATTTTAAAAACATAACTGGTTTTATCAAATGTCCAAATTTATTATTTATTTTGTCATTTTATCAATCGCAAAGCATCATCAACAATTGTATCCACAATACTAAGTTATCCATCATTCCATCTAGGGGTGGCAAATGGGTTGGTTAGGTTGAGTTGGGAAGGGTTAAAATCAATCCACCTACATCGATCCACCAATCCACCATGATTCATCATCAATCTTTGTTAAAGGGTCATAATTCACCTTAATCGTGCTAATCGTGATCTATCCTGACCAACCCATATTGATCTACTTGACCCATCCATACCGACCCACCTACCCTATACTATAAATACAAGAATGGGTCAATACTACCTGTATACCCAAAATAATATATTTTTAAGAGGCGGCCCTTATACCCAAAAAATAACGATTTTTTTAGATGAACATCTCGTAAGACTATCACGTGGCAAAAATGGGTCAAGGCAACCCGTATTCCTAAAAACAACAATTTTTTAGAGAATAATCTCTCTCAAGGATGCCACATGAAAGAACTAGGCCAAGTTGATCCATATAGCCAAAATAAATGAGAAAACCATCTCTCTGAAGACTGCCACGTGATAGAAACGGGTTGGGTTGATTCATATATCCCAAAAAACATTTTGAGTGAATCATCTCTCAAGACTACCACGTAAACAAAAAAATGGGTCAAGCCAACCCGTATACACGAAAATGCAAAAAATGTAGATAAATGCAGAAAATGCAAAAGATACAAAAAATTGCAAAAAAAATTATAAAATACCAAAAATGCAGAAAAATACCATAATTTTAAGAAAATGCATGGCTTTTGCAGAAAAAAAAAGTAGAAAAAATGCAAAAAATACTAGAAAACTGCAGAAAATGCATGGAAACACCAGAAAAATGCAACAATTATGCAGCAAAAAATTGTAGAAGATGCAAAAAAAAACCAAAAAATGTAGAAAAAAAACCTAGAAAATTACAAACAATGCAGAAAAATACCAAAAATTACAAAAAAAATGCAGAAAATAGAAGAAAAATTGCAAAAAAAAATGCATAACTTTTATTAGGGTTGTTCATAAGAAGGCCCAACCCGACCAACCCGAACCGATCCAACCCGAGTCGACCGGGTTTTCATCAGCACGGGTCGGTTTCGGGTTATGCAAATTCTTAAATCGATGATTCCCGAACTGAACCGACTTAGTTCCTAGTTCAAACATGAAGTTCCAAAGTCCACTAGGCCACTTAGTTTTTGAATGGTTGCAAGAAACTTTGGATTAGTGAATAGTGATTAATGAACAACTTTTGTGATTAACTTTTCATTTAAATTTTTTCATAGGAGATGGCTGAAACGATGTTCAATTTATGACTGCTTTTTAAAATTAGCAAGATTTTATCACA